CACAAATGGTAGAATTGTAAACACACATTGGTCTGCATTTGGTTTTGTTTTAATTTAGCAATACATTTAGGTGACCAGACCATATCAGCACATCTGGAGGTGATTTTTTTAAATTGCTGCCAAGATTCCATTTACATTTTATTGTCCCATATTTTTTTTATTCAGAAATCCCCATTGGTGGACCTTTATGTAGTTTCCAGATTTCCTGCTATGCAAACCAATGCTGTATGAATGTCCTTGTACGGGGATCATTTTGCATGTCTGTGCGTATAGCTGTTGGATAATTGCCTAGGGGTGAACCTGCTGGTCAAATAGTCTGTGCCATTTTAAATCTTGATGTATATTGCCAAATGGCTTTATGTTTGGAAGTTGTACTAATTTACACTTTCACTGGCAATGTAGGCGTGTGCTCCATTCCTTTTTAAAGCATCTGTTATTGCTAGAAGTTTTTGCATTTTCATAATAATTTCTGAAATGTGGCTTGCTGAAATTTCCACCCACCTTTTCTACTTCTACTCCCTGAGGCTTCTCACTTCTCTTTATCTTGGCTCCCCCATGAGTTAGGGTGAATAATGAACCACATTATACACAGAAGGGTGGACCCTGCCTCAGAGAATAGACCTGGGTCATTCAGGCTGGAGTGCTTACTCTTAGGTAAATACCAGAGGTTTTTTTGGGTTAGGAAGAGGCTAAATTTATACCACAAATCCTTCTGAAACCTTAGTACGTTTAAAAAGCAAAAACAAAACAAAACAAAACAAAAAACCCCCCCAAAAAACCCAAAAAACAAACACTTTTTTTCCACTAAGAACACATTAATACATTCACCTTATTAAAAAATGAGATATTGCAGCCCCTTTTTTAAAAACTCAATTTGGAGCCAGATGGTGACATATGTCTGTAATCCTAGTAGTTGAGCAGGCTGAGGCATAAGGATCACAAGTTCAAAACCAGCCTCAGCAACTTAGTGAGGTCCCAGGAAACTCAGTGAGATCCTGTCTCGAAATACAACACAATAAACAAACAAACAAACAAACAAATAAATAAATAGAATAAAACAAAGGGCTGGGATTGTGGCTCAGTGGTTAAGTGCCCCCTTGAGTTCAATCCCCAGTACACAATAAATAAATAAAAATAAAAATCCTCTCAGTTTGGAAGGTTCCTTTTAGATTTTTCTCTGTACTTATATATGTATCCATTAGTAATACATACTATTGATTCATAATTATTTCAAGGAAACATAATTGACACTATGCTGTGCATACCATTTTACAGTTTGATTATTTTTAAAACTCAAAATATATCTTAGAAATTTTATATGTTGGGTCTTAATAGATCTTTCATATTGCTTTTTTTTTTTTTGGTACTGGAGATTGAATCCAGGGGTGCTCTACCACTGAGCTACGTCCCCAACTGAGCTACATCCCCAGTGTCTTTATTTATTTTTTTATTTTGAGTCAGAGTCTTTTTTTAGTTGCCCAGGCTGGCCTTGAACTTGCAATTCTCCTGCCTCAGCTTCCCCTAGTTGCTGAGATTGCAGGTGTGCCCAGGTTTTACTGTATTCTTCATGTTTCCCTAGAATGGTTACATCACCTTGGCTTATTTGCACTCTAGTCTATAAATGTACATTTAAGTTGTTTTAAATTTCAAGTTACTATTCTTGTACCTACATCTTGGTGTGCACATGTAAGCATTACTCTAGGGTAGATATTTATAAGTGGAATTACTAGAGAATTTTAAATTTTAATAGATTCAGCAAAGTTATCTTCCTAAGTGACTGTGCCATTTCCATTTGTTTGTGGAGTACCTATTTTTCTGATTCTCCACAGCATATGATGTTCACAAACATGGACAAGTTTTGTCTTCTTATGGGTTATCAATGCTTTCTGATAGTCTTAATATGCATTTTTTTAAAATGAAATTTAAAATTTTTATTTTAGTGTTTTAGATGTACACGGACATAATAACTTTATTTTATTTTATTTAGTTTTATGTGATGCTGAGGATCAAACCCACTGCCTCATATGTGTTAGGCAAGCATTCTGCCACTGAGCCACAACCCCAGCCCTTAATATGCATTTCTAATGGTACTGAGCAAATTTTCCTGTCTGTTTTTGGCCATTTGTATTTCCTTTTCAGTGAGATACTTGCTAATGCCCATTTTCTTCTTTTGTTTAATCTTTTATATAATGATTTACAATTCTTTGTGTATTCTTGATACCTATCCTTGGCCTGTGAGATGTGTTGTAAAATTTTCTTCTAGAGCCAAAAATATCCCATCATCCCACTCTTGCACATCCCTTTTTGGGGTGCAATCTGACAGAATTTTCATATCTTACTGCACTCCTCAAAGTACAGAGCAGAAGCACTTGAAACAAAGGAGTTGCATGATTTAAGACTGCCACACAGCACATATGAGATAGTGATAATGGAGATACATATGGGAGAATGTGAATCCACAACCAAGGTGGCAGAATAGATAATATGTAAAACATCAGAACATACATATAGTAGTTAAGGTCAGACTTTCTGAATTCAAATATGGTTTTTGTCCCTCACTAATAATTACTTAAGTCTACTGGAGACCAGTATCCTCATTGTAAAATGGGGATAATAACAGGGTCAATTTTATAGGATTTCTGCAAAGATTAAAAGAGTTTATATGTACAAAATGTCTTTAGCAGGACTTGGCACATAGTAGTTTGGTATAAATATAATAGAAGCTTCTATATAATAGAAGTAGCTGCTATGTAATAGAAGTAGTTACTGTATAATAGAAGTTTGTTTTCCATGTTTTGTTAAAATCACATTGAACTTCTGATACAAAGTAATTGAACTTTGGTGTTTCCTTCAGAAACTAGTACCAATTCCTAATGAACACTAGATAATATAGTTATATGATAAAAATATTACAAGTAAAAGAATTGCTTTTGAATTATAAAAGTAAGGCACAGAAGTTCCACTGCACATAAACAGCTTCTTTATAATATACTTCCTAAGGATGATGGGCATTCCTCTTTACCAGTTAAAGTATTGCAACTGAGGAGATTGTAGAAACACATTTTATTGGCTGTTTGGTTTGCCAGCTTTACAATTGCACAACTTTTGATTAATTTCTTATTTGTAGAGATTTGCACTATTTTATAAGCCATGCATAAAATGTGATTTTATTGGTTTTTATGAATGCTTAAATCCTAATTCAAGGTTGCATACAGTGTGACCACTCTGTACTTGCTGTAAATTTCTGGACCATTTGTTATCCTCTAAGCTGTTCATATCAGTTGTCAGTGTTGGGTGAGGCCTGGGTTCCATCCCCAGCACTGCAAATAAATGGCAAGCAAAAACCATAATAAATAAAAAAGACTGACAATAGCAAAGGTTGAATAAAAATAGAATGTGGGACAATTAGAACTTTTATACATTTCTGGAGGGGCTGTGAAATTATACAAATACTTTGGAGAGAACTATTGGTCATTTTTTTTGTGTGTGTGTAAAGTTAAACATATATCTATCCATGACTTTAGCAGTTCGCCTCTCAGGAATCTACCCAAGTAGAATGAAAACATATGTCAATATAAGGACATAGATAACCATTCATAGCAATCTTCATTGTAGGAATCAATAATGGAATAATCAAGTGTCTATTAGTGGGGGAATGGATAAGCAAACTGGAATATTCATACAGTAGAATACTACTTGATAATAAGAACAGACCTCATAACAACATAGATGAATCTCAAGAAACATGATGTTGAACAAAAGAAGCCAGATACAAAAGAAACATGTGACATCCAAGGAGAGGTAAAATTCATCTATGAACATAGAAACCAGAACTGTGGGTTCTCTCAGGAGTGGGAAGCAGGAGAATTGGGGTGACTAGAAAAAGGGCACAAGAACTCTGGGTGATGGCAATATTCTCCATGTTCAGTTGCTTGGGTAAATATGATTGTCAGCACTCATTCAACTGAATACTTAAGATATGTATATTTTCTTGTACATAAATTATGCCTCAATACAATATTTATTGAATGCATTTTTCAAAGACTGTGTTTAGGTTGGTATCTTCTGCTGATTCATAGTCCTAATTATTTGTATTCATCAGGGTTGTCATTTTTTGCAATGCTAGATGACATAACATTTTAACTGTATATTAGGGTTCTCAACCTGTGGCCCATTAATGGTTTTCCAGGTCTCTGTGAACTCCATGAAATTAAGTGCACAATTTTGCATGCCTATGTGCATGTTCTTTTCTTTTCCCTTGTGAAGCAAGTTCATAACTGTCATCATATTCTCAAAAAGATCTGTGACCCAAAATATATTTAAAATAGAACCTCTGTGTTAGAAGGTTTGTGCCGAATATGTAGGAACCTGTATCAGTAGATGAAGATGAGTGAACTAATAAATGACAAAATTTCCTGCTGACAGTTAAGGAACCAAGCACCTAATAGTTTGCAGATTGAAACTGACAGATGTTGGTGGCTCCAATGAAACTAACAAAAATTAGAATAACCTTTTGGTCTGAGAAATAGAAGAGAACCCTGATAAGACTAGGAAGCAGAATGAGTGTACCATCAAAAGCTTTCAATCATATTTATAGGAACTATGTCTGTTATTCAAGAGTATCCTATAGATTGTGTCTGTTTTTAATATTGAAATTAGATAGATGAAAACAATGGAAGCAATAGTTATGATTCAAAAATTATTCACCACATTTCTCTTGACAGGAAAAACCAATTACCATAACTAATGCTAACAGAATTGTATCAGGTTCAGCTTTGTCAGTGTTTAACAAAAGAAGACAATTTTAATGTGGCTCAGTTATAGCAATATTCATACACTGAATTTTGAGGAACTGGTTGTTCATTCCCCATCCCTGATTGCAGGGAGGTAGTGCAGCATTAAATTGGTGGCAGAGGGTTGTAAATGCTATTTAAGATGAGCAGTCACTCACTCCCTGAACATCTAAGAACCTTGGTTTTCTTTGGTATGATTATTAATAGGCTTCTGTGGTCTGTTTTGTCCACTGTGTCTTGAGTGTGACATTGCCAGGAACTATGGAGAGTGTCCTTGTTGGCCTTTGTTACCTGGTTCTACCTTTGCACTGAGAATTGGCACAAGAGAGAGACATAAAATCCAGGTGAGTGCATTTGAGGCCTATGTGACCCTCAGTCTATGAGAACCCGGATGCCTTCCAAACATGTGATTTATGGGCTGGGGTTATGGCTCAGAGGTAGAGCGCTCGCCTACTATGCATCTGGGCTTGATCCCCAGCACCACATTAAAAAAAAAAATAATAAAATAAAGACATTGTGTCCACCTATAACTGAAGAAATAAATACTTAAAAAAAATTTAAAAAACGTGATTTACCAAAAAAAGTGTGAGTTAAAATGTTTTAAAATGACACATTTAATGTGCAACTTGGACAAAGGACAGATGTTTCCGATTTGGTCCTTTTTAGTATGAAGTATAAGTTAACTAAAATGCTATATTGTGAAAGGTATTTCCAAGTAGAAGGTAAATGCAAATAGTTGGTCAGTGGGCTTATTGTTGGCCAAATTGTGCTGCCTGAGACCTGCTTGGAGGATTAGTAATAGGAGGAGATAGCTGTGAATGGTCTTCTCTGTAAGCCAATATACAGTCCTTTCCTTCAATAGAAATAAAACCAATTTCTGTCTCTTATTACTTCAAGAGAAGGCGATAGACAGAATCACACCAAATTTGTAGGGTGTACTTGGAAGTTCTGACTTAAAATATTACCTATGTGATATGTGCAGAATTCATTTTGAGGGCTCCCCCAGCATGTCTGAAACTAAAGTACATGAGAGGTTGGGGAGTGACTGATCACGCATATTAAGATGTGGACATTAAGAAAAAAAGTACCTCTTTATGTGTTCTATGGAATGATCCCGATGATATAATTTTATGTGGAAAAAAATGACAGAAGTATTCAGCTATTCTCATAAAAGACTTTATATGTTGACATAGAATTTATCTGCAAGTATATATAAGAAACAACGATTGCTCCCAGATAGGTAAATGATTGGGGACAGATGTAGAGGAGGATTTATTTTCACTTCCTATCCTGTTTTACTTTGGACCATTGCACTTACTACCAACTCAACATAAATAAATAAAATAATCATAAATATTAGGTCCTAAGAGAAAAATTCCAGGATATTAACAGAAAAATCACTGGTTTCACGTAGGAGCTCCATGTCAAAAGTTTTGAGGGCAGGTCTCTGAATCACAGGCACTATTTGCCACTGAGCCACTTGGTGTTTGGATGGTCCAGTGCCCTGGGTGTTGGTGGATCTTGGAAGCAGTGAGTGGGATGAGTCAGCAGGTAGCATTTTATAGGTGCCCATGTAATGGAAATGAGCTTGTTTGACTTAGAACAGAGACCCTGGTCCTACCCTTAAATGCATTTACCTCTATAGGGCACACTGTGCGAGGATTGGCTGGTGGTGCACTGCTGTTGGCCTTTTTCCATCTGTCAGGTGGCCCGGGAACTCAAGATGAGAACTTCTCAACTCTATGGAATCTGTGCAGTCCCTTCAACTAAGGACACCCTGGTTTGATGGAGCAAAATAACTCTTCCTCATTCCCCCAAGTCCTCCCTCTCAAACCCCTTAGTAGAACAATTGTTTTAAGTTTTCACTGAAACAGTAGGAAAATAAATGATGTCCCCCACTACTGTCTCTGCTGTTGTTCTTTCTTTACCTATTGCCCTGATGAGGACTTTATTATTTGTCTGAATTTGCTCTTCCAAACCAGCCACATAAAACACATTCTGGAGGTGCGGTGTACTTCCCTCCTGGTCTGGAGTTTGAGGAGGTTGCATTTTTCTACCAGCTTTCCACTGCCAGCCTTTCCTGAGGGATGTCTAGGAGGCTGGGAGAATTGATCTATTTTCTTTTGCCAAGCCACTTTCCCCAGAGTGTCAGTGATGGGGTAGGAGATAATGAATTTTAGCTTGCTCTAAATGTCACTGAAACACATAAGCCATTGTCCTTCCCTTGTCTTGACTCCTCACTTTTTTTGGTACTGTGATTGAACCACTGAGGCACATTTTTTTGTTTTTAAATTTAGAGACAGGATCTCCCTAACTTACTTAGGGCTTCACTAAGTTGCTGAGGCTGGCATTGAACCTGTGATCCTCCTGCCTCAGTCTCCTGAGCTGTTGGAATTACAATCATGTGCCATTACACCTGGCTTCCTTCAATCTTAATGAAGAAGAAAGTCTCAGGTTGGTGCTAATCTTGAACACTTCCCTAACACTTGTACTGTTTTTGCCTCAGGCTCAGAGTCTTAGGTGGCCAACTGTTATGGGTTGAATCGTGTTCTTTACATTCCACATATGTCACAAAAAAAGATATTTGCATTCTTAACCCCTGGTACCTGTGAATGTGATCTTATTTGGAAATAGGATCTTTTGCAAATGTAGTCAAATTGAGGTCATTCATGTGGGTTCTAAACTCCAGTATGACTGATGTCATTATAAGAGGAGAGGAGACCCAGAATTGGAGATCCAAAGGGAAGACTCCCATGTGAAGTCAGAGGTAGAGATTGGGGTGGTACTGCCAAAAGCCAGGAATGCCTGGGGCTGCCAGGAGTTGGAAGAGACAAAGGAAGATCCTGACCCAGAAGTTTTGGAGGAAGCTTGGCCCTGCCAACTTTTTTTTTTTTTTTTAAGAAAGAGTGAGAGACAGGTCTTTATACCATCTCCCAGGGATTTTGGATATTTTCACTCACTCCATAGACCCAAGCTAATGCCAGCATTTCCCCCATGTCTTGCCAACAGGTCCCTATATGATTTGCAGTGTCTTCTGTGTTCATTTAATACATTGTGAGATTCCTCACCAAAATTTCCCTGACACTCTACTTTGTTAATTTAAAATGTGTATGAAACACCTTTCTATGTTCTGCCAAAAAAATGTGAACTTTATAACCAAGAAGTCAGAGATCAGATCATGGTTCCAGCTTTTGTTTTAAATGGTATTCCCCAGAAATCCAGCTCTGTGGAAATAAAAAATGACTGAACACTTTGAAAAAAAAAAAAAAAAAGAGAGTGAGAGAGAGTGAGAAAGAGGGAGAGAGAGAGAGAGAAATTTAATATTTATTTTTTTCAGTATTTGGCAGACACAGCATATTTGTCTGAATGTGGTGCTGAGGATCGAACCCGGGCTGCACGCATGCCAGGCGAGCGCACTACCACTTGAGCCACATCCCCAGCCCTGGCCCGGCCAACTTGATATGATCAAATTTGATCTTGATTTCAGATTTCTGGGCTCTAGAACTCTGATAGAATGTTCTGTTGTTTCAAGCCACTCAGTTTGTGGTGATTATTGTAGCAGCCCTAGGAAGCTAACCTAGCACCATCTACCATGTGAACCAAGTCCATGTCCAGTGTTAGTTAAGGTAGCACCATAGAGCAGAGCTGAAGAGCTTGGAGTTTGAGCTGAAAACATATTTATTAACTTTGCAACCATAGGGAAATTTGCTAGCCTCTCAGTTTCCTCATCCATAGAGTGGGATGGTCATAGTGTTGACCTCATGTGGCTGTGAAGATTATAAGTCAAGACATTTAGTGTTTGACAAGTAATAAGTACTCAGTAAATATATGCTATTACTATTTTTTGGTCACCTTATATTTATAGAAAATTATACTAGTCTTCCATTTACAGTTGGGATATAAAATTTTCCTTGACATTAAATTTGAAATGAAAATTGAGTCAATTAAAACAGGAGTATTCAGTAAATAACATAGCTGGTCAGTGGCTATGGCAAACACTGTGAAGGTAATAAAACACTGAGCATTTATATATGCCAGGTACTATTCAAACCCCTCTGCAGGTTTTAAGACATTGCATTCTTGACATCCTTTAGGAAAGTGCTATTATAACTCCCAGTTTCCAGAAAAGGGATTTCTGAGCCACCGAAATGGTAAGTAATCTGCCCAAGGTCACACAGCTGGTAACACAGGCAGCCCAGCTCTTGAAGCTGCTATGCTCCTAACCTCTACACAGAATACACAAGGTTTCCAGACAAGAGGCCATTTTGGGATTGCATGGTTGTACAAACCAGATTTTGCTCTACAGAGGTGAACTCAGCCTGATCAGCCTTGAGAGGAAGTATTACCTGTCCCTGCACCCAGCGACTTCCACAACTAGTTCCATCCAATTCTCTATTGGATGTCCAGAGCAGCTTCCAGGAGCTAAATCTCTTTGGGAAAAGTTAAATAGATAGTGTTGACATATAATCTATGGTAAAGTACTGCTCTCTCCAAACCAGCTACTGAAAAAAACCAAGCCTGGCTGACAACTCTATTAAATGAAAATAAACCTGTTTTTATTGTTTCATGCTAAAATACATCTTGGGCTCCACAAGCTCACAGCTGGGGACAGTACACATTTTTGGCAAAGGAGACCTTGGTAAACTCTGCACTCTCACATGGTTGACCCCTCCCTGGAGATGGCATTTCATACACAGGCTTCTAGCACAGTTTTCTTCTCTGCTGATGAAGGATGCGACTGGACCTCTCCAGCAAGGCAGCCCCTTTCCCCTTTGCTTCTTCAGATCAGTCCATGTGGAAAAAGAGCGTACTTAGCACTTCATTATAGCCAAAAACTCAAGCATGTAAAATTCTGGGCTCTGAAAGCATTGAGTGTACCACAGCATCACAGATCACAAAACAGAATCCATATGTAGAGTTCTTTGAAAACGAATGGTAGTGAAGGGTCCTGAAGGGAGGTGGCTTAGGATTTCTGGTTTCCTCTAGAAGGACACATCAAGGCCAAGATAAAATGATTTGACAAAAATACGTGCCCCCTGCCCCCTCCTGCCCACCAGGGGAGACATTATCCAACACTGGAAATTCATATTAGAGATAGTACTGTATGGAGCAGCTCATGACCTCAGTTTTACACCAAGTTCTGAGTGGTACAAATCTGAGTTATCCAACCATAAAGACACCTTCTGTATGTTTTTCTTCTTATTAGAAAATTTCTTTTGGTTTTCCAGGATGTAAAGGTGGAACAAATCTCTGATGATTCCCTGTGGGCAGGTAACACCAACATGTACGCAACGGACATTTCAAAGCAATCCATGTGGAGTGTTGTACTAACCTGGTAAATGAGCAAACAAAAAAACTCTCCAAAGTTCTTGGCTTTGAAGTGGAATATACTAAGGAAATAAGCTGCCAGCACTGAAACTCTATTTTTTGGAACAAAGATATGAAAATCTTGGAAGTCCTTTAAGTGCCCACTTTCCTGTGCAATAATTTTTATGTTGATATATTTTGTATATTTAAGGCTTATTTATACAACATTCCATAATGGCTACACATTATACCCCTTTCTTAAACATTATTTGCAGACATATTAACCCATAAAGTTTTTCTTTTGGTCTATTAAAAACACTGGACTTAAAAAAAGGTAAGCATACACACACAAGAATATACAATTTTTTTCTCCTTGTATTTGTTTGTGGAGGAGTGGATTTTTCTACTCATCCATTTTTTTCTTCATTTCTGCCCAGACAACACCCCCTCCCCCTGACTGAACATCATAATAAATAGTGACAATTTCTGGAGCTGAATGAAACTCAGACGTCATGTTTGAAAACTATTCTAGGGCAAATTTCTGGGCTTCAGGTCATCATTATAATCATTCAAATCCACCTTCCTCTGCTTCTTTGCCATTCCCGCCATTTTTTGACCCCTCACCCTTTGGAATCTGTGTGCTCGAGGTGCAGACTTTAGAAAATGGGGAGCCTTCTCTAAGCTTCTGGGTTTGGCTGGGAACAAGTCAGATTCTTTCTTTTGTGTTTAGGAAAGTATTTGTTTTATAGGCTCAACAGGCTCAAAAGGAAAAGCTAAATCCCTCAGAAACCCTCCATAATGAGTCACAGAGAGTTCCCACAGACTTAAAAAATAGCATGTGTAAAAATTAGGAGTGGTGGAGTCTCTGTTGCTCCAGTTGTGACTTGCAGAAGCCAGTGTATGAAGATGGAAATGTGGGCAAGAGGGTCTTCAAGACAAGACTGTTAATAGCCATTGTGGTCAGTGGCTTCGGGTGACTAAAGGTTATGTTGTTTTCCCTAGATTTTTTTTGGTACTGGGGATTGAACCCAGGGGTGTTCTACTACTGAACAACATACACAGACATTTTAACTTTGAGACACAGTCTCACTAAATTGCTGAAGCTGGCCTCGAGCTTGCCATCCTCCTGCCACAACCTCCCAAGTTGCTGGGATTATAGGCGTGCACAACCATGTCCAGCTTCCCTGCACTTAACCTTTCCATATATCACTTACAAACTTAAAAATCCTCCCAACTGTGGAATTCTATGGCTTAACCTTGGAAAATGAAGTCATTAAAACTTGTATTCAGGTGGGCTCTAAGGCCTCGAAGTAGTAACACAGATCTAGGCATCTGAAAGCTCATTTCTGTTTCTGTCACTGCTGAGGCTAAGGAGGAGCCAATCTGAATTCCTCCCAGAGAAAATTGCAACCAACATTAGGTCACAGGAACCAAGAGAAAAAGAATGACTGACAGCAGTACTGTCTTTGTCCATGTGTGAGAAGGAGCTGTCTTCATTGAATTATTGTTCCGGAGTTCACGCATACCTCCTGGCTTCTCACCCACCTCTCAGCAGATACCAGTACTTTGGGGCCTCTTGTTGCTTTTTATCACCTTCTC